GCTAGCCTTGTAGTCCAGTAAAAATAAGAGTTGACCTAGAATTGCAACAAGCGGTTTATTGGCACCGTTGTGTTCGTGGAATCATCCTCTACAACATATCCAAAGTTCTTTGATTTTCGGGGCGGGGAGAGGGCCTAATTTACATAAATTTAAAATGGCCGCCAAATGTACCTTTCGAGTCTCATACCTCCTTTAATATGGAGTTTTCACCTTATAAAATTATTACAGATAGAAACATGATTGTAATATCTCGAGCGCGCAACTTAATTATCTCTAGCGCTCGATTTAATTATCTCGAGCACTCGACTTAGTATCTCGAGCGCTCGACTTGGTATCTCGATATTATTACTTTTCTTTTGGATATCCTAAATCAGCCACCGTAGAATATAAATAATCACATGCGCATTAAATTATTGTGCAGCCCCGAATTGTCCAACTTCGTCTAAAGTAACATTGTAACATACGTATATTACATACAATGGACGATTATGACGACAATGTTAGAAATCGAGGGCGAGAATTCAAGAGAGCGAGAAGCCGGGGGCGAAGGGGCGAGATTACGAGACAGTGACGAAACATGAAATGAAATGAAATGGAGTTTAACCCATTCTTATATCGAATTTCAACTACCAATGGTTCTTTTACGTGCACGCCAATGTATACACGGGACCTCAGTTTTTCGCCCTATCGAAACGACTATGCGTTGTCCCTTGCCAGCACCTCCATCTTGCACCACTAACAAGGGGGAAACCACGCCGGAAAATCCTGATGAACTTTCTCGGCCAACGCAGGGATCGAACACGGAACCTCCAGGTAAGCGAGCCAACGGCTTACTCCGCGATGAAAGGGCGAGAATGTGAGTATCTCGCCCCGAGAACACGATATTATTTTACCTCGAATTCTCGCTTTTTCGCCACTGCCTAGGCAAAATCGCCCCATAGCACATTTGATAAACTATGCCGTAGTTTAAATAACCGTGGTCTGCCCACAATAAGATAGTTTTTGTCTATAAAAACTATTCTTTCTAATAAAAAAATAACATATTGTCACCGGAATATTCAAATAAATATAACGACATTCGATGATAATGAATACGACTCTAGTTGGAATATTTGTAGATTATTGTGGATTTGAGTAGACTTGTTGGATTTGGGTAAATTAGTTGCAGGTAGTGCACATGCGTACTTCCTAGGCGAGAAAGCGAGAAGCCAAGAGTGCAATAACGCGAGGATTTTCAAAGGCGAGAAAGCCAGAAGTAGAGTTAAAGTAATTTCGTGTTCTCTGGAGCGAGATCCTTGCATTCACACCTTGTTTACTCGCGTTCTCGCACTCTCACTCCCTAGTCCTCTCGCGGAGACTTTTCGCGGAGACTTCTTGGGGAGAGAATTCGAGATTATGAAATGGCCGCATGAGGCTTCCGTAACATACATACAATACTTGCCTTATATATTATTTCCCTCGTTTGACGTAGGAATGAATTAGAGGGAAATTATTTTCATATTGTTGCAAGAGTATTTCTATAGTTGTGTATGCAGGTGCATTGAGCTTAGTCCGGTCGCCAAACCCAATATTTCGAGTGAACCTGGAAATTGTATACAAAGTTTTTTTTATGATCGATTTTAGTAGCCGAGGGTGTCCTCTTTCAGAATCTGCAGGGTGAACCTCGGTCACCCTTGAGCGTTTTGAAAAATTCAAGATGGCGTCCAAGACGGCCGCCACATGAAATAATCCCCTATAGCTCACATAGTATTTATTCTAGGATGATAATTTAGGTGGGGTCAAGGAATACACTGAAATCATTTATTATGGTTCGGGGTGATTAGATGATAGTAAAATCAAACATGCCAGACAATATGGCCCTTTAACTCGTTAGCGGCCGTTGGGGGCGATGATTTCAACGAACTAAACAATATTTAGAGACAAACTATATATTTCTGGACATAGGAGCGTATGAGTGATAGCCACACAAATCCCTATCAGGGACTCTGGTGTCACATGGATCGGTCCAGAAAAGGGAGACACAAGCTGTTTGTTTAACATTTAAAAAAACAAATTCTACACGCGAAACAGGAACATTACCTCCACAAAACTTGGTAATATCCAGTTTAATCCTTAGTCCTTAGTCGTGTTTCTGGCTGCAACCTGCAACTTGTTCTAGATCAAGTTCCGGTGGATTCCGATCTTCCAGTGAACGTCACTCAATAGCTTTGTGATGAGCTCTTTTTACGTTCTGTGCAAATGTATCATTCGTTGAGCAAGATTACATACCGAAACATTTCAAGTTTAAGATGTCCACACCTTCCAACGTGTTTCAGACATAGATTTCTAGAACTCTGTCCATAACAAGTGACATATATACAGTGGCCTGTGTAACTGTGTAAGCAATGATTTTATTAGAGTGTCTATTACTCCGACGAGTGAGAGAGAATATAATCAAGCTCTAACCACTTACAAAGCTGTTCCTTTCCCCACGACGTAACCGCATGTACCCGTGTCACATCCAGTAAGAGAATGAGCTGGCAGGATTTCAATGATAATTGACATGTGTTTCACCGTAGTTTGACCAATGTCAACGGTTGTTCTTTCCTCGATTGGCGATTCCACTGTAAGCTTGTTATGGACCGAGCTGTTGCAAATCGATGACTGAAACACAATAGTGGTATAGGCATCCAATCTGGACATGTATCGATATCATCCCCACCTATACCATGTAGTCTAGCTCCAACGAATGATGTGTTTGTATCGAACGAAAAAATATGTCATCGCAAAGCTATTGAGTGGCGTTCACTGGAAAATCGGAATCCGCCGAAACTTGATCAGGAACTGTATTGCTGGGAGAAGGACACATTGAAAACATTACAACCGGTAAACTTGCTCCGGAGTCTGCCATGTGGCTCATCAGATGCAGATGCAAGAGTGACAGCTCATGTTGTACGTGTGCTTGTAGCTGCACTAGGGATGGCTTATAATATACAATATTTTGCGCTTGTGCTGTCACAGGTTGCAGCCAGAAACACGCCTAAAGGATTAAACTGGATATTGCCTAGTTTTTTGGAGGTTATGTTCCTGTTTTGCGGGTAGAAACAGCTTTATCTCCCTTTTCAGGACCGACCCATGTGGCCCTAGAGCCCCTGATAGGAATGTATGTGGTGTTATCCTATCACTAATACGCTCCTATGTCCAGAAATATATAGTTTGTCTCTAGAGATAGTTTGGTTCGTTGAAATAATCGCCCCGAACGGCCGCTAACGAGTTAAAGGGCCATATTGTCTGGCATGTTTGATTGTACTATCATCTAATCACCCCGAACCATAATAAATGATTTCAGTGTATTCCTTGACCCCAGAAACATACGGTTAGACACCAAAATTATCATCCTAGAATAAATATACTCAGTCAAATTAAAAACTTGACACTGATGAATTTCAACAAATTTTTATTCTAGTAAGTCAAATAAATTTTAAAGTGTTTCTAACGATAGTAAGTAGTAAGAAGCCTTTAATTTCATAAAATTGTAAAGTCTCGCGACTTTTGAGCATATAAAGATGAAAAACCTGAAAAACACGTGCAAACACAAACTCGTGAGGTCAATCGATGCAAGTTTGCTTAAACTGAACACGCGCACGTAACTTGAACTGGAAAAACAAATTAAAATTGTTATTTTCATCTTTGTTAGAAAATGCCGCGCCTTTCAAATGTAGAACGTCTACGTGCTATAGGTAGGCTCTATGCTGGTCAGTCTGGAATTCGGTTGTCTTTAGTGACGAATCTCGATTCACTTTGAGATTTGCCGATGGCAGGGCCCGAGTGTACCGCAGACGAGCTGAACGTTATGCTCAAGTATGCGTCGGAGAAATTGACCGATTTGGTGGCGGCAGCGTCATGGTTTGGGGTTCTTTTTGTGCACATGGACGTTCTCCTCTTGTTGTTGTCCAAGGGAACTTAAATGCTGTCCAGTACAGGGATCAGATTTTGCAACCTGTTCTTCTTCCGTTTATGCAGAGACATGGGCCTGGACTAACGTTTCAACAAGACAATGCTCGACCCCATACAGCAATTGCTACCCAGAATTTTTTAAAAAATGCCGGTGTCCAAGTCCTGGATTGGCCGTCGCTTAGCCCCGACCTTAATCCTATTGAACACATCTGGGACGAACTGGGTCGACGTGTTCGTCAGCAAGTGAATCCACCACTGACGTTGCAGGACCTTCAACATGCTCTTGCTGAGCAGTGGCGACGTCTTCCTCGGGTAGTGTTTACTAATGTTCTGAGATCCATGAGAAGACGTTGTGTGGCAGTACGAGACGCTAGAGGAGGCCACAACCGTTACTAAACACTTCATTCCGATTGTTCTCCAAGTCTGTGAATTTCATTTTGGGGGGTACTGTGACATCACGAACGTTATCAATGTCAAGGACTTTCGGCGAGACGTATTCTTGCTTTCTGTTGATGTCAAGGTCGTCTGTGCACAACATAACACTAAAATAGTTGCCTTAAACCAAATATTAAAAATCTAGTCCCAAAAATCCCGAGTGTCAAGTTTTTAATTTGGGTGAGTACTATGGGAGCTATAGGGGATTATTTGATGTGACGACCGTCTTGGACGCCACCTTGAATTTCTCAAAACGCCCAAGGGGGACCGAGGTTCAACCGGCAGATTCTGAAAGAGGACACCCTAGGCTACTAAAATCGATCATAAAAAAACTTTGTATACAATTTCCAGGTTCAGCCATAGTTCTGCCGGACTAGCTGCGTGAGTCACTTCAGGCGACACTAGTTGACACGTCAACACTGAATTTTTAGGGAAATTAATGTAAATTGTTCAAAATAATATAATAAAGATTTGTTTGTATATTGAGCATGTTTGTTTTAACATAGTTTGTATTTGATTATTGTAAATACAGCTGGTTGATAGTGTCGCCACAATGCCATTATTGTGTTATGTTATTTGTTGGTCGTACTCTGAAGTACGAGGTTTATAATGAGAAATAGTGTTCCCTCAAACGATTCGATTCACGCGGCTAATTGTTATTTTCTAGGAAATAGCTACGCTTGGTTGCCACTGACATCATATCTAAGAGACGGATAAGTGACAGTGCATATAAAAGTTACACTGTATGCGAGCGGAGCGTATTTTGTGAGAGACATTACTTTACGTATAGAGCGAGTTACATGTTTACAGGTAAGTAAATAGTTATATATATATATATATCAATGAAATGAAATGGAGTTATAACGTCCTACTGTTCTGCGCCACGCCCTCTGTCTTGCATTACCGACAAGGGATAACCATGTCGGAAAATCCGATGAACTTTCTCGACAAACCGAATATTCAGGTTAGCTCACTACGGTCATAGTAAGCCATCCTGGTTTTCTATATATCTATGATCCTACCTTATACGCAACATGTTTGTGTAATGTGTATAATAAGTTATTATGTATGACCTAAATACGTGTATAGATAAATAGAGAATGTAACCACTGTAATATTCCGCCCATTTTTTAGTAGTTGTTTTAAAACACATATAAATAACGTAAATACAATGAACTTAAAGTATAACATCTGTCTATCTTATAGTCTGATAGTATCAATGATTTAGAGAAATAAGTCCGGGCTGGAGTTTTGGCGTGAGGTCTTGGGGATTACCCGAAAATGTTATAAAATCAGAAGCCCTGAAGTAATATTTCTGCTTTTTTAGGTGCATACAGTTATAGGATTAGAGTTGAGTCAGTTGAAAAAAAATATGCTCTACAACCAGAGGCGTACTGTGTGGGTAGGTAGGCAACCGCCTATCCTGCTCTCATTAAGCAAAAACAAAACAAACCATCGAATCTGATGACATTTCCAACCATGGAATAGGGGCGTGTTTGGCCATGTGCCTCTCTTACCAAAAAGTTACCCCTCTTTTGTTAAGTGCCCCCGTTTCTGAAAAAGTGCCCTCGAATTTCGAAAGAGTTACTTAAAATACTCGTAGAAATGACCTGGTCAATGTCGTCCTATTCCCATTGCCCTAATGAAAACAACGTGCCCTAATTTCCTATTGCCCTTCCCTTGTTCCAAACAGATCTAGCGATACTAAAACCCAACCGCACCCAATGTACACCCTCAAAAATAAATATAAAATTACAATGAAAAATACATGTATGTAATTTCTTTAACATAACACTGTAAAAATATCACTGCATGTTTTCCGTCGTGCTTTCCTTGCCAGTGATGCAGGATAGAGGGCCGGACAGGGATAGCTGTTTAGTCGTTCGGATGGTACGCAATACCGAGTTCCCGTGTACACGTTAGTGTGCACGTAAAAGATCCCTATTAAACTGTTAAAATAATATGTATATTTACAGTTATAAGTATACTTAAATACAGTGTCCGATTTGTAATATCACATAGTTTGTTAATTTACATTTAAAACGTGTAAATGCATATGAATACAAAGATTATGTAAGATTACATGTAGAAATACAACCATATGTCAGTTTACATTATGTGAGCTGTATATTAACAGAATTGCCATTTGAATTATTATTTTACAGCAAATTGTAAATTAACTTTCAAAGAGTAGCCACATTGGTTATTCCCTCTTTGGCCACATGCAAGATTACATCAAACGTAACGTAAAAATACAACCATATGTCAGTTTACATTGTGTGAGCTGTATATTAACAGAAATGTCATTTGAAATAGTACTTTTACAACAAATTGTAAATTACTGTCAAATAGTGTTCAAATCGGTTATTCCCTTCGACCACATATTGAATTTCGTGCAAAATATTTACTGTTATATCAGTCAGATTAGTCTATTTTAGAGAAATAGGTTATTCAAAATCTGAATGCACCTAACTGGCGTATGGAGACAATGATATGCCATAGATAGGGTTGTGTGGGACATTTTGCTTCGTGTCATGCCTCCTACTCTTTCCATTGTAAGAAGCAGAACTGTAGGGCGCTAAACCCCATTTTATTTAATTTCTTTCCATTATCGAATGATGTTTTGCATGCTCGGTTGAAAGGTCAGCAAAACTTTATGTGTTCGCCAGGATCTAACCTAGGACTACTTAGCCGAGTATATTTCAATTAAATATACACTTTAAATTGTATTTTTACCGTATAATGACTGGTAGGAAGTTGCCAGTAAAATCACTGTATTTTAAATGTACCTCTAAATGATAGATTTAGATTTACAAACACCACGTAAATTTACAGTGAGTGTAAAGATAACTTTGAGGTAAATTTACAACCACAGTGTAAATTTACAGTGAATGTAAGATAACTTTGAGGTAAATTTACAACCCCAGTGTAAATTTACAGTGAACGTAAATTTACCTCCCTTTCTATTTACAAGTTATTTTACACTCACTGTAAATTTACAAGGCAGTGTTAAAATACAGTCAATTTACTGTCAACTTTCTGCCAGTCAATTTATGGTAAAAATACACAAATATTATTTACAGTCAGTGTACGTACATACACCATTGATCAATCAATCATACTTGCTTGCTGACTCACACTCAAAGATCATATTTCTCCTCGGATTGAGGCCGTTATACTTTTAAGTGGATACGAAGATGGATTTTAGTTATTTTGAAAAATATATATGCCCGGTTCGTCCCTGAAAAACAGATGAGTAGTAACCGTACTTGTCTATCATTAGAACAACTTGCCCCACCAAAACGTGTCAGAGTTTGGCACAAATATCTGGTGAAAACGACGTGGGCTAATATTCAACATTCAATCTATTTCGACGAGGCCTAGATTTAGCTGGGTGCTGACCGGGCAGCAGCAAGGGCCCCAGAATTGAATGACACTTGACATGTACCCTATGTATGGAATACCAGCCATTTTTGTTGTTGTTTTTCTTTACTCGTAGGTACCCCAGCATGGCCCCGCCCTACATGCCCCCACCCCAATCTGGATAACGCGCTTGCTATATTATTACTATGTACAATGAGTAACGTAAATGATAAGACAGCAGCCTTCGTGCCACTTGTCTCACTCCAACTCTTAACGTATTCGGGTGGGGGTGGGGCTGAATGGTTAGCATGTGCGCGCTGTACTTGGGGTCTGTCATTGAGTCAACTGGCGTAGTTTCGATTCCCCGGCTGTACGTGACAATGAGTAGGGTCGCCTGTCCAATTGCGTGGGTTTTCTCAAGGTCCTCCGGTTTCCTCCCACTGCTAAAGATCCCTACGTGCAATCGAATTACTGAAATAAAATGAAACCTTATGTTAGACCCAAAATGACATAGTTTGTGTTGAGTGGACGTTAAACCTCATTTCTCTCTCTATCTCTCTCTTAACGTATTCATTATGCCGTTTAATCTCAGAGCCGGTCGGTCGGTATATTTTTAGGGCAGGTCGACCGCTTCAATTCAGGACAAATCAGCTCTTATGATTCTAATAAATTTAAACACATGTTAAATATATTTTAGATATATAAATGTCAAAAACCTATTCAGTTATTGTCTTTGTTGTCTTTACAGAAACTGGTCTTGGTCGAAATCCAACATGGCGGAACAGACAGTTAATATTAACTGCAGTATCTGTTTAAACGACTATACAGAACCTAAAACTATCGAATGTGGACATGAATTTTGTGTGAAATGTTTGGAAGATTATGTTAGTAAAGTTGGCAAAGATAACCGGTTCCCATGTCCTCTGTGTCGTAAAGATGTCACCATTCCAGATGGCGGAATTAAAAATCTTTCGTCAACTGGTAAAGCAGAGGCAGTGGCTTCTAAACCTTGTGACGTTTGTATATCTTCGCCTGTAGCCGAGTTTCAGTGTGTCAATTGTGATAAATGTTTCTGCTCATCTTGTAAGATTTCACATGATTTGTTTCTTTCGGATCACCACGTTTTGGGGATAAATGAAACTGTAAAAATACAAAAAGGACGAAAAACCTTTTGCAGCCGCCATAAAACTGAGAAATTGGAATTTTATTGTCAAGACTGTTGTCAGATCATCTGTAAAATTTGTATGCTGTCATCTCACCAAGACCATAATACACCGGAAATATGCGATTATAGGAGCGAGGCTATAGAGGAATTACAGAAACTAAGGCAACAATTGGATGAAAAGAAAGCTGAATTTCAAAATTATTCTGATGAGGTATGCAAGAAGATTAACAATATGAATGAATCTGTTCGTACATCCTGTGCTGCAATTGATCAGCAAGTTAAAAGCATCTGTGATGACGTCACGAAAAGTGGTGAACAATTAAAAGAGGAAGTACAAAGCACATGTAAAGAAGAAGAACTGAAGATGAAGAAGATCGTTGATGATACATATAAATTTATCGTCCAGATAGAGAAGGTCACGGAGTATATAACTAATATCCTGAAAGACGATCCAATGCATGACGTATTAGATGCTTTACCAGATACACGAAAACAGCGAGACGATTATCAGTCACATGATTTGACCATGACATATGACGTGAAAAGTGAATTCAGCCAAGGGCAGATAATTACCAGTAGATTACAAGAAATGCTAGGCACCCTTCAAATTTTACGTGGACCGACATTAAAACATAGTTTTAATTATGGAATACTGAGTACCACGAAGGACGAATGGTTTTACAGTCCTGTCTTTAAAATACAAGATTGGTCATGGTATATCAGAGCAAGAAATACATCCTATAAAGATGGTAATTATCTAGATCTTGGTACGGTTGTTTATTTTGGAGACAGGGTTACTGGATCCTGTACAGTTAAAGTTACAATGGAGTTGACCAATAAATCAAATTCAAAGAAACAGACTTTTACACAAACATTTAAACTACCATTTGGTCAACTAAACTGGACTAAAATCACCCCTTATAGTAATTTATCTGTCTTCGCCTTTATGAGAGATGATAGTTTTACTGTTAAATGTACAGTACTTACAACAGATATAGAAACATTTTAATGTTTTAATATGGGATAATTGATACTTGCTAGATGTTATAATATGTTATAGTTGCTACTATAATTGAAGTTATCATATGCTATAATTATTACTATGATATAAGTTATTAAAAGGCCATTGTTATATAATAGAAATGTTGTAATTGTTACTAATCGTTATTATAAAGGAAGTAATAATATAAATTTAAGTATACAGTAAAGATATTGAAATTGTTTCTACAATAGAAATTATAATACTTTGAATATATTTATAGATTTAATTGTACTGTACTTACATCAGATACTGCTTTGTGTACAGTTGGGTTGGATGGCCGAATGGTTAGCACGTGCGCGCTGTATCGTAAGGTCTGACATTGAATCAACTGGCGTGGTTTCGATTTCCCAGTTGTACAAGGCAAGGAGTGGGGTCGCCTTCGAACCTCCATGGGTTTACTCCGGTTCCTCCGGTTTCCTCCCACTGTGAAATAACCCTACGCGCAAGCGAATTGTTGAAATAAAATTGAACCATGTGTTAGTCCCAAAATGACCTAGTTTGTGTCGAGTGGACGTTACGCCCCCTCCCCCCCTCTCTCTCTCTCTCTCTCTCTCGGTGAACAAGTATCTATCTCTCCCGCCTCCCCCCGCCCCCTCTCTCACACACATAAATTGCACTACATTGTTTTACAAACCGATTTCAAAACAGGTTTAATAACATTTTAAAGTACATTTTTGTCGCCCATCGGAGGAGCTCGCCAGAAATTACATATATTAAGGTACATAACATACAATGTTTACGGCAGATAAATACATAAAAAAAATCAACCACTTTTACGTTTTCATTCTGATATTTTTTGTGGGATTCGCACCCCTGACCTATCATAACAATCCGCTTAGCCTACGAGAGTCCAACGCACTACCAACTGAGATATATCCCCTGTATTGTTTGTTGACGACTATACTAGGGCCACCCCATATATTTGGGCTGTAATTTTGGGTTGAAGTACATCTCGAGCCGAAGAGTTACATATTCTTGCCTGCGCTGCGCTATCAGTTCTGGTTAAGGAGTTATACCACTTCTGGTTTCACCAAACTCCAATAATGATCATAATCGAACATCAATCTATCAATTAGAAGCACCATTATTGTATTCCAAAATCTCGATCAATTGCTTATTACTATGTTTAACCTGAGCAGAAATCAGTGTTCATTAATTTCAACCAAAGTTTTCTCGACCAAGCATCGACCAATCAACCCAATTACTTATCTCCCATAACCTAAGCAGATGGTGATCATCAATTTACATAATGAATACTTACACCAAGTTTGAACAGTTTACCTCAATTAGAAGCAGTGCTATGTGATGGGCGTACAGACACAGGAGGGCAGTGCCGGACTGGTGGGCCGAAGGCCCACCTGTCAGGTTATTGACCAAGGCCCACACAAGTACGCGCCAAAGGCGAGTCACGAGCGCGTCGAAAGACGCGATAGGGGTCGGGGGGGGGGGGGGTCTCCCCCGAGGGAAATTTTGAAAATTGACAACCGCAAACCCATTTTCCAAACATTTCACTTTCAGGCCAAAGCAGAAGAATTCAAATTTTTGATTTCCTGATACAATTAGATAACAGAATGACCTTAGAGCTAAGAACACTATCCTCCTCCCCCTCTCCTTTCTTTCGCTTTTCTTTTTTTCTTTTTTCTTTCTCTTTTTCATTTTTCCTTTTTCTTTATAGGCTTAGGCCCACTTTTTTTAATGAGCTTAGGCCCACCTGTCACGGACAGGTGGACAGGTGGACCCACTCCGGCACTGCAGGAGGGGGCTAGATTCCGGCCCTTTTCATATGGGACTGATGTGATGACACGTTTATTTCAAGACACGTAACTTCTTACTTATATCTAGATCAGTTATTTAAACATGTAAAACTGCAGCCGTGAACCCAAAACAACGACCTTGTGGATTTTTGTAGAATAAGTGAGAAAACGAAACTAGCTTGATTCAGCTTTCCCAAACCCCACCCACCGGACATTTTTCCACTCGGATTTAGGCTATTATATTTTTAGATGAATTTCATTCGTGAAATTGTTTTGAAATATTACAACTGCTTTTACGATCTCGGTGGTGACGTGGAAGCAGACCATTAAAAATTTACCATAAAATGTAGTTTATTTTATTATTTATACAACCCCTCCCAACCCGTTTGCCCACTTTTAAGAATCAAAGAAAATGATTTTAATTTACAATTTCTTTTAGGTTTTAGAAGAGTCTTGGTTTTGGGACGGGTGGTTTTTACCTTGAAAGGTACAGTGAATGGTTACATGTTTACTTAATAATGCTACGCCCACTTTTGAGCAGGACACTATCACATGCTGCTACGTTTGTTTTAGAGAGCTTTTAACCAAACGACAATTAGGGGTAAATTAGAGCCGGCTAAAGATAAGAGGCGTAACATGAAGTGAATGAGAAATCTATGGTAATCAGTGGATATAAAATAATATGATATTGGTTAGATGTGGAAAATTCACCACAGGCGCGCATCCAGAGGGTCTGTCCCTCTCCCGTTCTTGCTTAGACTCAATATAGAGGTTACTGGACCCGAGATAGTCGGAAATGCCATCTACAGAGTTCCATTTTTCTTCGGGAAGTAATTCATATATGGACCCTCGGCCCAGTCCATGGACAAAACACGATCCTACTCATTGTAAAATTACTAGTATTTCTATAGCTCTCTTAAATACACGAGAAAATTAATAAGCAATAATAAAGCACGTATATAATAATAACTAATTTCATCTACTTGTCACCAAAATAACCCCTAAATGTTGCAAAAAAGGATTTTTGATGTTTTATGATAGAATTGGTTGTACTGAATGACATCCTACAATTTGACCAAAATGGGAGTACTGGAAAGTCCCAAATTTTGAGGGTAATTCTCAGTTTTTTCAGTAATTTTCCCTTAAAGGGATTTATATGCATGTTTTTAGTAAGCGACATTATTGAAATCTAAAACAATAATAATCATATTTCTTTCAATCAAAACAAGTAGTTGACGTTATCCTCAATTTAACATAGTTATTCAGTAAAAGGGGGTTGGGTGGCCGAATAGTTAACGCCTTCGAGTTGGATAATAAGGTCTGTCATTGAGTCAAGTGGCGTGGTTTCGATTCCACGCTTGTACGTGACAAGGGTAGGGTGGCCTGTCCAACCTCGTGGGTTTTCTCAAGGCCCTTCGGTTTTCCCCCACTTCTAAAGATCCCTCCCAACGGGCAAGCGAATTATTGAAGTAAAATTGAACAATATGTTAGTATGGCCTAGTATGTGTTGAGTGAATGTTATACCCCATTCGCTCTCTCTATCTGTCTGTCTGTCTCTGTCTCTGTCTCTCTCTCTGCCTCTCTCTTGGATAGCTTTGTGTGGTTTGGGTAAATTGTGCTGTTGGTGGTAGTCAATGCACATGCGTACGAATTGAACTTCCGAGGCGAAAAAGCAAGTCGTCGCGGGCGAGAAATCGAGAAGTTGAGAAGTCGAGGGTTAGAGTGCGAGAACGCGAGGATTTTCAAAGGCGAGATCCTCGCATTCACGTCTTGTTTCCCCGCATGCCCGACTTCTCGTGGAGGGAATTCGAGATTATGAAATGGCCGCATTTGGCTTCCGTAGCATGGCTTACCATCCTAGAAACGATTTGTATCATGTTAGGAAATAGCTTTGTTGTCAATGACATAAAACAACATATCAATCGTATGTAAGATAAATGACAGTGAATATTAAAATTGGACTGTACTCGTTTGTATTTTTTGAGAAACATTACGTTGTATAGGACGGATTGAATATTTTAAAGTAAGTAAATAGTTACAGCTACTCTCAGGTGTTAGATATTAGAAATGAAGATGTTTTAGGAAAGAAAACTAGGTTTTTTTTGAGTACTTTCCGCTTTATTAAGCTTCTTCAGGCAAAATTTACCTATGAAATAGGGTTTTACCATAGAAATATATATATATATTTCTATGGTTTAACTGATCGCCTCCGATTGTGCTAAGGAAGAAGGGCATACGCCATACAGTGCGCTATGAGGGAAAATTTGCCCAGTTAGCGGCAACACCTACAGCCAATTCTAACTTCCAAGGATTCTTTTACGTGCACACGAATTTGTACACGGGACCTCGGATTTTTGCACCAACCGAACTACTATACAAGGGCCAATCCGCCCCTGAAATCAGTTGAGTAGTAACTGTACTTGTTTATCATTAGAACAACTTGCCCTTGATCAAAACGTGTCGGAGTGAGACGCAAATTTTAGAGAAATATTTTGCGCGAATTTTCATTTCACTTCGGGAACCAAGATCCAATTAATTTCCACTGAAAGCTTCCAGATTCGATTTCGCAGTCGTATTAGTATTCACATAGCATTCAGAATCATTGGGTTTTTTTATTTCGCTAATGAATGTAGGAAAATGAAAACATTGACTTCCTTGGCCAGGCTTAAAGTAAACGTTTTACACCGGGGTCAGAGCCGGTGTGTAAATCTTGATCATCTTGTTCTTGGTGTTATATCAGTTTATTCTACGTGCTATCCCCCGGTATCCTTTGTAAGAAATACCAGACCCTACTAGTAGATCGTTTAGTTCTTGATTGTTGCTAACTATGTTCATGTTCAGATCTTCGGGACTTAATCATAATAGTGGCTACCTCAACCATGTGTCAGTGTATGACCCTATATTTGGTCTGCCTACCCTCAGTCTGAAGCCCCTAATGTCAGATCCGGTCGGTCGGTATATTTTCAGGACAGGTCGGCCGCCTAAATTCAGGAAATATCGGCTCATTTGATTCTAATCAATTCAAACAATTCAAACACTGTTAAATATATAATGTTAGATAATTAAATTTTAAAAATTCTTCAATTGTTGTCTTTTTTGTCTTCACAGAAATTGGTCTTGATTGAAAACCAACATGGCGGAAAAGACGGATAATAACAACTGTAGTATCTGTTTAAATGGCTTCACAGAATCTAAAATTATTGAATGTGGACATGAATTTTGTGTAAAATGTTTGGAGGATTATGTTAGTAAAGTTGGTAAAGATAACCGGTTTCCATGTCCTCTGTGTCGTGAAGATGTCACCATTCTGGATGGCGGAATTAAAAATCTTTCGTCAACTGGTAAAGTGGAGGCAGTGGCTTCTAAACCTTGTGACGTTTGTAGATCTACGTCCGTAGCTGAGTTTCAGTGTGTCAATTGTGATAAATGTTTATGTTCATCTTGTAAAATTGCACACGATTCGTTTTTTTCGGATCACTACGTTTTTGGAATAAATGAAACTGCAAATATACAAAAGGGACGAAAGATCTTTTGTAGCCACCATGAAACTGAGAAGTTGGAATTTTATTGCCAAGACTGTTGTCAGATCATCTGTAAAATTTGTATGATGTCATCTCACCAAGACCATAATACACCAAAAATATGTGATTATGAGACCAAGGCTACAGAGGAATTACACAAACTAAAGCAACAATTGGATGAAAAGAAAGCAGAATTTCAAAATTATTCTGATGAGGTAAACAAGAAGATTAACAATATGAATGAATCTGTTCGGACGACCTGTGCTAAAATTGATCAGCAAGTTAAAACCATCTGTGATGACGTCACTAAAAGAGGTGAACAATTAAAATTGGAAGTAAACAGCACGTGCAAAGAAGCAGAACTGAAGATGAAGAAGATCGCTGATGATACAAATAAACTTATAGTTCAGATCGAGAAGGTCACGGAGAATATAACTAATATTCTGAATGCCGATTCAATGCATGACGTATTAGATGCTTTACGCGATACACGAAAACAACAAGATGTCTGTCAATCACACGATTTGACCATGCCATGTGACGTGAGAAGTGAATTCGACCAAGGACAGGTAATTACCAGTACATCACAACAAATGCTAGGCACTCTTCAGATTTTACGTGGACCATTGGAATATAGTTTTAGTCCAAGAGTACTGGAAACCAGGCAGGGCGAATGGTTTTACAGTCGTGTCTTTAAAATACAAGATTGGTCATGGTATATCAGAGCAAGAAATGCAACCCATAAAGATGGAAATACAACCCGTAATTATCTAGATCTTGGTATGGTTGTTTATTTTGGAGACAGGGTTACTGGTCCCTGTACAGTTAAAGTTACCATGGAGTTGATCAATAAATCAGATCCCCTTTATACACAGACTTTTACACAGACATTTAAACCACCATTTGGTGAACTAACCTGGGAGAAAATCTTTGATTATAATCATTTATATATGTACGGTCTTACCAAGGATGATACTTTTACTGCTAAATGTATAGTAGTTATAACAGATATAAACACATAATATGTTATAATTGTTACTTTGGCAGAATTGTAATATGTTATAATTGTTAAAATGCTGGAACTTATAATATGTTATAATTATTACTGTGCTGGAAGTCATAATTGTTACTATGCTGATATTTATAATATGTAATAATTGTGACTATATAAATTATAATATGTTATTTTGTTACTATATAGAAGTTATAATATTTTATAATTGTTACTATAATAGAAGTTATAATAGGCTATAATAGTTACTATAATTTATAATAGAAGTTATAATATGCTTTCATACAGTTGTTATAATACATAATATAATACGTTATAGTTGTTATAGTGGATGGTTACACGCATCCGTGTGCGCTACCCCCCACTTCTGATCAAGACGTCGCCACATGCTGCAGCATCTTTGTTAGTGAGCCTTTTAACCCAACGACAATTGGGTGTTAGTAAGTGCCGACAAAGATAAGAGACGTAAGATGAAGTGAATGAGAAAATCTATGTTAATCAGTGGTCACAGAATATGATATTGGCATATTGCTTAAGCTCAATTTAGAGGTTTCTGTAACCCGAGATTTTCGGAAATGCCATTTACAGCTTTCCATTTTTCTTTGGGGAATAATTCATAAATGGGCCCTCTGCCCAGTCCAAAGACAAAACGCGATCATATTCATAGTGGAAAGTGGCATCTACAGCGTTCCATGTTTCTTCGGGGAATAATAAATACATGACACCTTGGCCCAGTCTATTGGCAAAACACGATCATATTCATCGTGAATTATTAGTATTTCTATAGACTGGACATCCGTCAACTCGCGAAGATCTCTTAATTAATCAACAAGAAAATTAATAAGCATTAATAAAGAAGCTATATAATAACTACTAGTTCTTATACTAGTACTCATCGAATACAGATTGCAATCTACAAAGCAGTGAGATGATTTTAAACTGTTTAACTAGTACTCACTGGATACAGATTGTTGCCAACGATTTCATGTTCAGATCTCCAGGACTTAATCCCTCAACCAAGTGCCAGTCAGTATAGTATGTCATGACTCAGATATACATGAAATCAATTCTAGCATGTGCCACAGAACCAAAACTTCCTTAAAAACAACCTATGCCACATCTGATAACTTCAAACAGTGATAACATCGCTCAGAATAAAGTAATTTTCAATATATTAACTTTGAATTATCTATTTTGGAACCATTATAGCAAGAACAACCAGCTCTTTGTCTAAATCTTATATAATCATATTTAATGAATGAGCAGTATTAAAGGTTACTCGGTACCCTAATTAATTTGATCTACCCACCCTCCTTAGGAACCTCCAACAGTCCCTGATCTTTATTGAAAAAAAGTATATTACCGGTTGTACGTGACAAGGAGTAGGGTCGTCTGTTCAACCTCGTGGGTTTTCTCCGGCCCCCGGTTTCCTCCCATTGCTAAAGACCCCTACGCGGGCTATATCATAAGGTCTGTCATTCAGAGTGAACTGGCGTAGTTTCGATTCCCCGGTTGTAAGTGACAAAGAGTAGGGTAGCCTGTCCTACCTCGTGGGTTTTCTCCAGGTACCCCGGTTTCGTCCAACTGCTCAAGACCCTCTACGCACTAGCGAATTATTGAAACAAAATCCGAAACAAAACCATAACATGGGAGACAATCCATGAACCCTCAAAAATGGAGCATTTCCCAAACATTGATCTGGTTACCGGTACATAAACATTATAGTGCTTGTAATAAGATAAACAAGCCAACATTGAGACTGATGCCCACAACACATGTGGACCATCGACCCACTCCATGGACAAAACATGAATTACTAGTATTTCTATAGACTGGACGTCAGGCTAATCACAAAGATCTTGTCAAATACTACTATTCAATCTTGATCGCCAGTCTTATTAATAAGCAATAATAAAGCACGTATATAATAACTAATTTCATCTACTTGTCACCAAAATAACAATTGAACACCTGTTTTTATTAGAAAAAATGTCAACAATTACAATACACGATGTCTTTTATAATTATATACAAACAAATAGACGATCTTCTTCACAGCTTGACGTTATCTGTTTTCACAAAATAACAAAAAAATTAACATACATTGGACACAAAAGCACATTCCACAATAACTTATTCTATGTCATTGAGGACAATTGTTCCCGCCAATTTAACATTACTCAGTAAAAAGAAACTGATCGCCATTTGTAAACTACAATATTATAAATCCGTTTCACGAATACCACCCCCCCACCACCCCGCCCCAACGATTCAAATCTGTTAACTATCTATCAAGATATGATGAATTTAAAATGTCCCAACATTCGGACAATATAAAGAGAGAGGGAGAGAGAGAGAGAGAGAGAGAGAGAGAGAGAGGGGGAGAAATGGGGTTTAACGTCCACTCGACACAAACTAGGTCATTTTGGGACTAGCATATGGTTTTTAATTTATTTCAATAATTCACTTGCGCGTAGGGGTCTTTAGCAGTGGGAGGAAACCGGAGGACCCGAAGAAAACCCACGAGGCTGGACAGGCGTCCCTAATCCTTGTCACGTACAACCGGGGATTCGAAACCACGCCAGTTGACTCAATGACAGGCCTTATGATACAGCGCGCACGTGCTAACCATTCGGCCATCCACCCCCCCACCCCCTCGGACAATATAAACACACAAGGTCAACCTATTTGGGGTAAAATCTTTTGATGGGTCTCTTTAAACCCGACTGGATTCAAGCTGAAAGATTACCTACTCTTGATATTTTAGTTTTGTGTTCCCAGTTAAACCAGTTAAATGCTAAATAAATAAAATGAAATGCGATTTAACGCCCCACCTTTCTGCATCGACTGGGAAAATGAAAACGGAAGTGCTAAATATGTTTTATCGAGGAATAAATCGAGAAAAATAAGATTACGTCCGACAAATGCAAATCACGACCAGTGGCTTTAATGTAAACACAATTATAATAGTTGAGTCAATTTATGAAAAATAGGAAGTCAACCCCTAAGAATTGCAAGAAAGCTTTTTATGATAGTTTATGGTAGATTTGGTTATACTTTGTACTGCATGATATCCTAAAAGTTGATCAAAATGCGAGTACCAGAAAGTCCCACATTTTGAGGGTAATTCTCAGTTTTTTTCAGTCACTTTCCATTAAAAGCTAAAACTTAAGACACGCATAAAAAAAGAACGCATGTATATGTACATGGAATATTCTCCGTTCTCATTTACATGCCCATTTCTAATAAGCAAAATTATTCAAATCTGAAGAAAAAAAAATTACATTTCTTTCAATCAAAACATGTATTTGACGTTTTCCTCAGTTTAACACCATCTTCATTAGCCCAGGTTAGGAGCAGAACAGTAGGACGTTAAACCCCATTTCATTTCATTTCATTTCTCAGTTTAACATATAGTATCCAGTAGAAAGAAAATCGGAATGTAGAACGAACAACAATGTAAAAGATGTTATATATCTATATGCATGGCATGTTAAAAAAAACCCCTAAATTATCTATATTACATTTCTTTCATTTGGAACATGTATTTTTAAATATCTTAGTCAATTTAACAATTCATGTATTCATTAAAAAAGAACTCAGCATTAAAAAAAAAATACATTTACAAGGTAAAAATGATACATATATTTCTTTTAGTTAAATCATGTATTTGATGCCGTAGTCAATTTAACAATACAAGTATTCAGTAAAAAAAAAATTAGTATAAAAAAAAACAACTGCAAGGTAAAAATGTTCAATTAAAGGGACGTGAGCAGTGTGTTAGCTACAGTACTGGGTACGATCTGTATTGTTTAGTTCAAGTGACCACAGTGGGTTGTTTAGTTCAAGGGATCACAGTGAGTTGTTAAGTTCAAGGGATCACAGTGGGTTGTTAAGTTCAAGGGATCACAGTGGGTTGTTAAGTTCAAGGGACGACAGTGGGTTGTTAAGTTCAAGGGATCACAGTGGATTGTTAAATAAGACACTGGATGACTTACCAGGTGATCCAAGGACTCGATCCCGGTTTCGGTCGAGAAACTTCCTAGGATTTTCCAGTCCGATTTCACCGTGTCAGTGGTGAAAGAGAGTTGATATGGAGACCCCATATTTAGTATAAGACCCAGAAGGGTGAAGGACCGATATCCCGTCACTTCGTGGTTCTTTCAAAATGTTTTATGTAAGAGATATATAAATAATTATTTAGACATTTATTCAAATGACAAGTCTATAATGAACTTTCAATGCCATTGGATGCTATTTACTCATTTAATGTATAGAATTTATGGCACGCAATAATCCAAATAAACAAACAGAACAAGCAACTAAGACAATGAGAAATACAGGGCATAATTCTATGGAATACAATTATTGTTTATTACTAAGTGCGACGTTTCGGCGAAAATAATGTAGGATATCCTTCATTTAAGACTAACCAGTTTGCAATACAGAGAAGAAAATGTACACCAAAACTATTTTACGTTGTGTTCTTTCAACACTGCGGTTTACAAAGTAATGCCCAAAATATGTAATACATTCGTATCACATGCACATTTATAAACAAAAAAATCCTCCTCTTAGGGTTGAACAAAAATCAGCATTATCGAATTCTGATAAACCAACCACCTACACCACCGATAGCTAGCTCGTTCTATAACAGTGTCTAAACCAACCGTGATATCTGACGGTTGTATTTGAACACACATTCGCCAAATACCCTTTTTTTTTCAGTAGGGGAGATAACCGATCTCAGCTGGTAATTATACCGACGATCAGTGACCACAGTTTTCAGCTCAAGCCGGTGATTCGATAGAATTATAAGATGGCGGCGGCGGCATCGGGTCGCTCTGGTGGAAATATGAAGGCATCATTGTATCTGATGGCAAACTTTCCGTTGAGCCAAACATCGACCATCCCCCAATAGCATCAGCCACACTCAGATCTATAAAAAGGTCAACAACTTCATTTTCCGGATCAAATGGTGTCCTACCGGCCCCTGGTTGTTTTATATCTGATTTTGAGTCGGATTCTATTTCGTCTGAGAATCTGATTTTTCCATTCGGCTTCTTTTCAACCTCTTTCGAGTCTTTTTCCTTTTCCTCAGCGGATTTGTCTTCTTTCTTATCTCCCTTTGTTTCTTTTTCCCCGCCAATATCCTTATCCTTATCCTTACCCTTGTCCTTATCTTTATCATTATCATTATCTTTATCTTTGTCGTCGCCATTTTCCCCGGCTTCTCCCTCTTCTTCTGGCTCATCCTTCTCAAAAATGATATCAGTCACTGGCCAGTGTTGTTTATAATCTGTGATGATTTCGTCAATTTGACCTTTAAAACTGATTGTCTTAAGACTGAGCTTCACGGACTTCGACGACAGCACATTCTTCAGCAGCATGGGGACGAAACCACCGGCTAATGTGGCCAAAGTTTGATTTGTGGATGAGATTTTATGAACATTTCCAAATGCCATGACAACAATCATCACAAACAAGAGAAAGACGACGATGATGAGGAATTTGCCGGTGGCTCGCAGGAGATTCAGATAAACCGGCCCTGGAGCTCCGTGCACTCGGACCTCGCATAGTTTCTTAAACAGGCGCAACGGGATTCTCGGAGTGTCGTGGGAATCCAAGAATAAGAGAAGCTGTCCGATCGTCCACCGAACCTCACCTTTAGTAAAGTTGAGTTTAGTTTTAACAGGTGGATCTTCAGCCATGGTCTTAACCTGGAACCCGGCATTCTCCTGCATGCTGGACGGGAGACTAGCGATCTTTCGTAAATCATCCACTCTGTCTATCATGTCTTCGATAATGGTTTTATTAAACTGTAGATAATTCTCGTACACGTTATTGTAACAGTCGTGCATGTATACAAACACGAGCAAAACCATGGTAACGTATTTTAAAGTGCTACTCGCATTCACGATAATTCCCATCATGGTAAAGGCCAGTACCTCCACCAACAGACCTATGGACTCAGCGAATATCAGGGCCAAGGCATAGAGAACACACAAACAGAATGCACCGGTGACAAATTGTAAAAACACAGTTCGAATTGTATAACACATACTAAATCCCCCTGTAGACGGACAACAAGTTTCTTCTTCCGTCGGTTCCGTAATATTATGCACCGCCATGTCCATTCGCGATAAGCGACGATGTATCTTTTTCAGTTTCTCAAAACGTAGTTTTTTCTCTTCTTGAAGAGGCGTATTCTCACCAATCTGTTTCCAGGATTGGAACACAATCCGGTATGAAATATAAACGATGGGGATGCAGTATAAAGCGAACGTTATAATAGTGAACGGTGCTGTTATGCCGATATACAGAGGTATCAGCAAAATTGCTAACAATCCACACTTTCTAAACGGCCATAATCCAATACGTAGCACAACCTGGATAACCCCGACTTGAGACACGTTTGACATGTCTTGTAGAGCGGATCTGGCGATTGATTTTAGCTTGTCTCTCACTTGCTGATCAGAGAAGCCAATTACCAACCCCGATAGAAAGTAGAAACAGTACGCGGCGATAAAGAGTCCGTGTGTGGGCGTAAAATACTGCATGAGATTAGTTCTGTAATAATTGAATTGTTCTTGTAAATGAACCTCCTTTATGGCAAGTCGTCTTTGCACCATTTCGTCATGCTCAAACTTGTAGTATATAAACAAACGAACATAAAATGGTATAGGCACCATAAATAGCATCATACACTTAACAAACATCTGCATGCAAGAGTGCCACGTAAGTTTATGTTTAAAACTGTTTTCAAGAGAAGCAAACACACTCAGATCACAACATTCATTGAAAGGTTCCAGGCCCTTTATTTTACATCGCACTAAATTGTCGTAAGCAGTTCGGAGTAGGCCAGTTGGAGGTTCATTTTCGGGAATGATCCGTTTCCCTTTCACCGTTATTCTGATTTCCTCCATTTTAATTGGAATTATCTCATCTGTTGGTAGTTCGTCCAATTTTTCACGAAATCTCCAAAAGTTTGACACATCCTCTAAAGTTAATCGTTTCTTGAATTTAACGTGACAATCCGTCTTTTCCGTTATCAGTAACGTCATTTTTAAAGCTTTCTTCAACTTTACGACGTATTCCGACGCCACGTAAACCGCACTGTACATATTTGTTGGCATAAACAGCGGAAAGAATAAAAACATAAGAAATTTGACCAAAGTTATGGATAAATATAAGAGTGTAATCCATTTGTCGTCCAGCTGATCTGAACATGTGATGACACCTTCTTCTTTTGAACAACACGCATTCACAAACTCCGCATATCCGGTATTATTTCTGATGACTAAATGACACACGTAATCACTCCGATCAGTTCCGGTTTTAGTCGCTTTACCGACTTGGAAATTATCCAGTAACATTTCATATATCAGTTCCATGCGTTTCGCAGACGTCAAGTTGTTAAAGCACCCGAATGGTTCATCTTTGATAACAATGGGAATCTTTTCGACTCCAATTTTTAATATTGACATAGAAAGGATATCGTAATGAAATGACAACATAAGTAGAGTTCGGCCATGTTGAGTTTTGGTTCTGAACCATTTCCCTGGTTTATAAGCCAACTGGTCGTACATTATGGTCAAAGGGTCATCTGTGTAATTAAACATGGAGAAATGAAACTCGTACATCATGGTGCCCCTATCGGCTTCCATCTGTTTCAGATTTTCGTAAATATCTTTTTTCGCGGGATAAATTTTGCACGTTTTCTGAATAGTCCTTAAAAGGGCGTCTAAAAGTTTGTTCTTTCCATTAAAACCAATATCCGAACTAGCACCCGACGTGTATGTTACCAAGACACAAATCAGCAGAAGTGAAGTGAAAGTCACTGTAGCCATTTTGCTTCGTTATTGGTCCGTGTTTCTAAGCTGGTGTTTTTTCACCTGAAAGGATAAAAAAAAATCTAGAATTAGTACTTTACATATTCAACTGCTATAATATTTTACAAACATTTCCATTTTACGACATATTCGACTACTATCATCATCATCATCATCATCATCACTATCAAACATTTATCTCTTCACAATTTCAGAGTAATAACATTATTTAAAATATCTATATATATATTTGTGACTGTCGTTTGTCTGTCTGTCTTTCTGTCTGTCTGTCTGTCTGTTCGGGGTTGGCGGCTACACTAGGTCTGCCCCGAGTCTGAAATTTGGGATATAGGGGTAGCTCGGACCGGGGAGTAACATAGGCCAGGTGGCGTTAGTCTACCATTTCCGGTTTCGGAGTTATGACCCCCGAGCGAAGCCGGTCTGTTTGGTGTTGGCGGCTACACTAGGTCTGCCCCGAGTCTGAAATTTGGGGTATAGGGGTAGCTCGGACCGGGGAGTAACATAGGCCAGGTGGCGTTAGTCTACCACTTCCGGTTTCGGAGTTATGACTCCCGAGCGAAGCCGTGTATCCTGCTAGTAATAAATAGTTTTAAAAAAATGAATGGAAAACATAACGCGCATAAACTACAACCTAGTAATGAAAATTAATTGAAACCTGAAAACCTTAGATATTTTCTTAAATTAAATGGAATGTTATTAATGGTTTTGGGCCTGGTCAAAGAAACAATCCACTTTTCTAGTATTTAAAATCTCAAAGCAATGTAGAAGAAGTCTTAATTAGATCGTGTTCAATCATTATAAATATACCACCAACAAATGGTTTTAAATTAAGAAATTTCTCAAGGATTAAAAACCTGACCAGAGTAATCACATCATTAGCTGATGCACCGATGCCTCTGCCCGCTTCCAATTAGAGTGTTATAACAGGCAAGTATTTCCGAAAAAACGTGAAGGCGGTGATTGAGTGGCCAAGTCCATCGAATTGCGGGCAGGGGGAGGGGGGCGATTGGAAAAGCAAATAAAAAAGGAAATCTTAGACGCAGTCCTGCTATACGGGTGCATTCAAAAGTTTAAACTTTTGTATCCAATGGTTAATCTCAATGTCTGTGACACAGTGGAAATGTATGAATTACAAAACACAGATTATTATACTATATTAAAACAGATTAATCTGGTAATCTTAGATTTATTCACCATTTGATCTGGACTGAATGTGTCCGCATGACTGTGATGTAGCTGAGATTGTTTAATAAAGACATAATAACTATCACATCTGACTGTTGGCCAATGTAAACTTTATATTTTTAATCACTGTAAATCATTGATTAGCGTGGTCAGCATGTTTCTGGAATCATACGAGTTCAATGGCTATATTATATATATATATATAATGCTCGACTGGTTTAAATAAAGTTTATATTTACAAAGATGATAGTTTAAATAAAGTTTATATTTACAATACGGACCGTCTCTTCTAACTGATACACAAAAACACATACTTATTTATTTGGGCGCCGTTTGGAAGAGTATTCTCACAACGTATTGCTCTATCCAGTTACAAAATGCCTCTAAAATATTATTCTAAACTGATAGTTTTACATTTCCTAGTTCACATCTTTTACATGATACCTTTCGGCAGGTTTAACCAATCGAACCTTGATGCCTATGGCTCATTAATTTTAATGTCAACTTATTCATCAATTGTTCATAATGACAATCGATAGACCAGATTACTAATTAATATAATATTATTTTGATCTATTTTCCATCGATGTATGAAAACAAACAAAGTGTCAATGAAAGTACGACCACGTATCAAGTGTACAATGTATTTATTTATTTATTTAAAGCAAGTAAATAAACAATCTGGATGGTAGTCGAAGTTTCACGAAGGTTTGTGTTGCCTTCATAGGTTCCGAGCAATGAACATTTGTCCATTCTACTTTAACTGAAAACAATTAAAAACATAAATGTCTGGGACCAAGTCCATGCGAGCAGCTGTGAGGCATACTTTGTAGTACTATGATCTTTGCGACAATATTGTATCTATAACTAATTATTGGGTTCACATACACACTAAACATATCTAATGCACTCAAATAATAAGTGACGGATTTAAACATAAAAAGAGTTATAAAAACAAAACATAGCTGGTTACGTGGGAATCAGAATATCATGTTTAACACGTGATTGGAAATTTACTAATTGCATCATACACTGTAACCATCCAATCAAATTCATTATTTGCAGAATCTTAAGTCATGACGTAACCAAATCTGTTATAAAGCCCAAACCAGCCATTTAAGATTCAGATATAATTGGGTTGACATATCCAGCTTGACATGAAAATGTAGAATTGAACTGTTGCATTGTATTCCTGGTAAGACGAACGTCTTAACTAAAAAGAAGATAAACGTCTTAACTACTTAGATAAGAAGAAGAAAATACACAACGTGAAAAGGAAGCCAAAGATAAAATTGAAAATACTAGACGGCCACAAGGCTACTAAGATATGTATATAGTAAGAATGGAGTGCATGGGTCATGCGTATGATGTGGCGACCGGATTTGCTCAGCCCACTTTCCACGTCTGACAAAAGACCCATGGTGCTACACATTTCACACACGTGCCACCAAACCTTGGCAGAAACTACCTTAAAAGAGTCAAATTGAACATGGTATGAACATACTACAAGAAACGCTCCTTTTCCCAAATAAATCGCCAAGTGCTATCAGCTATTCTGAACACGATAGACTTTTATTTTACAAATTCCACTAATTAGAAAATAATGACCACCTATATACAACAAATCAGTAAATCGACAATATACTTTCTTATTACCTTATCTTCAAGAGTTAATAACAACATTCCATATTTCATAGGTGTTACTAGGCAAGAATCCGTAAATCTATATCTTATGCCAACCGAATTAACAATAAGTTCAAATAGATTATATAAATATTTCTATCGCTAATAGAGTTTGATGATCAACTAACCAGGCCTACACGTGTGAGGGGTGGCGAATGCGGGGATGGCCACATGACAAGGATAGTGTGACCAGTCGTTCGGATGGCACGACAAGTCCACAATTTCCTTCATCACCCATCCCTCATTAATGGATAAACCCTATTTCATTACTGGTACTGAAAAAATGCAGTGTCGATTTCGTGTCGAAAGTCCATTTGTTTTCAAAATAATCAAATGAAACCATTTCAACACCTTATTTGACCAAAGTCAAAAAATATTTCGTCCTTTTAAAGTATCAAATTTCCATGCCTTTGAGCTTATTTCTTACCTAATTTATAAATATCACAATCCCCTTGACGCAATCCCTTTATTCACAATCACTGTCAATAATCTCTAGAGTGAATTATTATAACATATATCTCTCATTTACAAACGATGACAATAAATTGTTTCCTTATAAATATTTTGTGTATCCATGGAAAATGAAATGAAATGAAATGGGGTTTAACGTCCTACTGTTCTACTCCGACTCGGCTAATGAAGACGGGCATACTCCATACAGTGTGTTATCAGGGAAATTTTGCACGGGCAGCGTCACAATGGCTTACTCTTATCGAAATCTAACGTGCATGCCAATGTATACACGGCACCTCGACACCTCGGTTTTTAATACCATCCGAACGACTAGACAGCTGTCCTTGTCAGGTCCTCCGTTCTGCACCACTGACAAGGGGAAACCACGTCAGAAAATCCAGTTGAAGTTCCTCGCCAATGCAGGGATCGAACACGCGAGCCAGTGTCTTACCCACTTAGCCACCGTGGCTCCCCGTATCCATGGCAGAACGCATGGATAGTAAGACGAATGGCTCCGAACGACAAAATAAACGCCTCGAGATTACCAATACAGTTCTACAAAGAGATAAAGAGGCCTGAGTTAGTGTAGTGTCATGAAAATTCATTAATAATTGTTGGGAGCAGCAATCTAACTACGATATTTGATATAGTCTCTACTAAATTTTGTTTACAAGAATTTCAACATCCGAACTGATTTTGATAATCGTCTATTGTTATTCTTTTTTTGTTATCGGCTAAACACAACATTTGTTCAGTTTGATGTTATATACAGTTTGAAAACAATTTCCAGAATTTACAGCCGCTGGTGACGCTGCAGGTGTTGTATGCCATTTGATTTTCGGCCATCCGATTATAGGCTTGTCATGTGAATAAATGTCTAAATAATAAATTATATAAGATTTGAAACCAAAATAAAGACCTGCAACAAGCGGATTTAGCTCTTACATCATGCATTTTTAAGTCGCCAGGAAATATTTTTATAACCCGGCATCCTCTTGATGAGTCAAGATTCAATTGTGGCACATTCAGTATCCTCAATGGTATTCGTTTCTACTAGATACCAGAATCTCTCACCATTAATATTACTTATGGGAAAAGTATAGTACCTTTTAAGTGTTTCTTTTGTCGCTGATATACAATCACATGATATGCGGTGAAACGACAAGACCTACGCATTCTATTGACCGGTGTAAGCATTTTTTGTGATGCGATGAGGCGAATCGAAATATTCTTAAAGTGGTATTTGTTTGGGATAATGACTAGAGAATCCTCGTCTTAACGTCACGAAAACAATAAACACTCACGCGACTTATATTCCAAATAACTGGACCATGTTTAGTAAGTTAATAAATGCCGCTTAAACAATTATTTTGGCATAAAGCAAGATGAACTAGATCGTTTAAGAAAATGAAGTGAAAGGTCTAACCTTCCACTCTTCTGCCAACAGGGACTATTTACCCGCCTATTCTTCGACTGCCAAGGTATACACGGGGCCTATGCTTTTCGTCCCATCCGAACGATTAGACGCTGTTCCTCCGCCCTGCACAGCAAACCACACTGAAAAGTCTAATTTCCTAACTCACGTTGTAGTAAAAAGATATTCGAAATATTCAACAGGCATCTGGTGTTTTCGAAGGAAGGAAGGTCATTCCTTCTTAAACATTACGTGCGCAAATACAAAATGCTTGAATTGTTTCCCAGAACAGATCGAAACCCGAAGT